ACACCACTCCTGACCACTTTGCAAAGCCAGCGAAGAATGGGTCTAGCTGAAAAACCCCAGCTATGACAAGTTAGCAAAGCCAGTTGACCAATGCATCAGCCCAGCACCACAGCTGGTATGTGGGAGGAAGCACAGCTGAAAGCAGGCAAAAGGCCCTTTTAAAGAGCATCAAACCATGAGCCTGGCTGAGGCAACCACTTGTCCTGAGCTAACCCACTGCTTTCCAGCATGGGGACCATGCCCACTGCTTCCTCCTCTACCTCTTCTCCACGCTGGGCCTCGCTTCCTCTCCACCCACACTGCTGGAGCGCTGACAAGTTGCTTCTGGTTGGGGCTCCTACCATGGACAATCCAGGTTACTAAGTCACAGAAAGTTAACCCAGGAAAAAAGATCAGCTCAAATGCAACCACCACAACTGCATGTCTGGAGGTTGGACCTCTCCTCTCTGAAAGCAGCAAACCATACACCAGCTCAGCCATCCCACACAACTTAACCCTCTGTGGCTCACCCCAGGACTGCCATGGTGGCATCGGCATTGGGACTGACATGGCCTGGCAGTGACATAGCCCATGGGGCCACATGGCAGAAAACCATTTCTGTTAAGGTTTTGGGAGGCTGTCGTGAGCTCTCCACAGGCCCACCGTCAGGAGCTGTGGTAGCCCAGCAGCCCTCCCTGGCTCTCAGACACCAGCACACTGCCCAGGGATGAGACCCTAGATGCGGAAGAGGAGAGGCTGCTATAAGCAGACACTCCAGGGAACTTCCTAGTGTACATCAAGCCTAGCTCCCAAAACCCAGCACTGCCAGTCTGAGGTGACCTTGAGCAGGACACGGCATCCAGGAAAACGGGGTGCATTCCTAGGGTGCCTTACATTGCTTTCACCCCAGCTAATCACTCGGGCAGAAGCTACCATCAGGCAAGAAGCTCCAGCTTTAATTCAGGCTGTGTTTCCAAGACGCATTTGCTGACCCAAGCAGATCACTGCCAACAGAAGTGGGAGGCCCCCATTGCCTCCCCATACCCTGAACAAAGGCGTGCCACTCACCTCGTCCCCTCTCCTCCTCACCAGACACCCAGAACAGTTCACAACACACACAACAGCCAAGGAACTTTCTGCTGGTCCCTGGGACCATCAGCTGACAGGCCCAGCAGGCACCCACAAGAAGGGAACAGGCCTGCCTGGCCAGGGAACTTGGACCATCTCCTTTGGACAGTGCTGCACCAGCAGATCAGGTCATCCAAAATGCAATGACAAAGAAAGTGGTAACACCAAATACAGGCAACCATCTTCCCCACTGGCAAGCTAAAACTTTATCCCAGAAAAGCTGAACCAGAAACAGTTTAAGCCAATGAATAAGTGCAGGGATACACACACCCACACACAGAGAAAAAGACACTGGATTAGAAAGTGCACCTACCTAGTGTATTCACATAGGTTAATGTATTAACTTCCCATCCAGCAGCACCTTAGTAGTTTGCTCAAACTTAGTCTCGCAGAACGAGTCCTAAAAGCACAAGTTCTTCAGGCTGATCATTTATGTTTCACTGCTTAAGCATGGTCAGGGTCCTCTGCAAATCAGGTTTAAGGTACAGAGCTCTCCAGACTGCACAAACATCCCAAGAACAAACATTTTCAGCATACCAAGAGCTCAGATACACTAGGTCAGTCCAACTGTGTTTATTTGTATTTCGGCCAAATCACTGCTGAAGTACTCTGAGCTCAAGGAGTGACAGCCCCTCACTGATTCAGCAAGAGACCAGAAGTAATTGGTAGACAGTCCACAAGCACCACAAAGAATGTCAGAGGCATTTATTTACATGACCCCTGTTTGCCCACGGAGAATTCAGAGTCTGCATTTTCCTCTCACTCCAATTAATCATTACTAGAATAAATCCTCTTCAATATTCCTCAGCTAACAGGAGTAAAAGCACAAACCATCCAAAATCATCCCCACCACAAAACTTTCCAGATAGCTGGCACTGCCAAAACAAGACAGTTTTACTCCCATCAGTTGGGCTTCCTCCCCACACTGGCACAACTTCTCTCATTATGCCTTCCTCCAAGGGACATGGAAAAGACAAGGAGACACCATTCCTATTGTTGAAAAACAGCACTCCTGCCAGGGCAGAACCATCGCATCTTCTGTGCCAGGCTGACAACAGGCTGCATCTCACACCTCTGCTGTGGGCACTGAAGCTTTAAAACTCCCACAGGACCTAGCTTATGCAACCACACAGTCTTCTCCTCCATCAGGAGCTGAGGAGGACCGCTGCTCTTTAGTGCAAAGCACCTCTCAGGCTTGTCAGCCAGCGTGCTCGCACAGCCAGGACGCAGCAGCACTCCCTCAGACCTTACCCCTCACTGCCAGAGAGCAGCTCTACCAACAAGACACAATGTGGGAATTCCTCCAGACCAGCCGTCCGTGGAAGACAAGCTATGGTCACAACTTCGAGCCAATTCTACCCACGTGCTTTGCGGCTGAAGCTGGCAAAAGGTCTCGCTCTGTCACGCATCCTCCTTCACTTCTTGTAGCAGCGAGCCCAGCACACCAGGCAGTGGGAGATGAGAAAGAAGTGGGTAAGCAGTGCTGGAACTAGCAGTAAGCACCAGCCATTTCTAAAAGCAGAGAAGTGGTCAGGGTTAACAAATCTCATACAAAACCTACAGGTATACAGCAAGGTGCAGAACACCTCCATTGATATCACAGTATGCCAGAGATATCCACCTCTCCAGGCCCCAAATCAATAATTAAGCAGAATTTACTACTCGGTTTACACAATTCCTTAAAGAAATGGGTATTTCTAAGCTAACATGTGCTGTCAACATTTTGTCATTATTCAACAATTTGTGCCAGCTCCCACAGAACTGAGAGCAAGCTCCTGCAGCAAGAAGACGGCGCAACCTGGAATCAGCCAGGCTTTGCTGATTACTCCTCTGAGTAAACAGTGGTGTTTCCAGCACTTCAGCTTGCTCTCGAGCTTCTCTCATTGGCATACTACCCTATATTTAGGATAGAAGAGTGCAATGACAAGCATTGTGAAGAATGAATAAGTGGTCTACGATGCTCACTATAGTGACAGAGACTCTGTGAAGAAATTTACAAGTTAGGAAGTCCTAAAGCGAGGAATGAAATCTATAAAGCTAAAGATGGGAGAAAAAGCATTTCACATAAACAGTTAAATAACAGATTTTGTGAAGAACAGTATTCCCAAAGCAAAATACAGTAGCAGTCCATCATGTCATGGCAGTGGAAAGAAGACCCTGCCTGGAGGGACTGAGAGAAGACAGGCAAATGTTTGGTCTTTTTATATAAAAATAGGATTTTAATCTCATTTTGGATACAGGTGAACAACATAAGTGCCATTTTCCCAAGCTGAAAAGCCAAAGCTCCAGGATCTCAGGGAATAATTGCAAGCTCTGCTACCCTCTCATGTCCCCCTATCCTGGGCAGCAGAGACCCAGTGACACTCTAAAAACACACACGGGAGGTTTTCAAACTTCAAACCTGGGGCAAAAATTTGCTAAATTCACTGGAGACCCGTGCAAGCTGCTTCAGAGCCTGTTGCTTCTGAGGAGCCTGGGAGGCCACGGGGAGCATCCCACATTCACACCTCAGCAGAACTATTTACTCGCATGTACGCACCCTCACAAGTCTGACTGTAGGTCTGTCGTGCCTGGAGCAGCCTCCGCCGAGAGTCAGCCCTGGGAGCCGGAGGGACCCCGCAAAGCCCCCGGCAGGTCAGGCCGGTGCGGACGTGGAGCCGAGAGTCCCGGCACCACTGCATGGGGAGCGTGCTCAGAGACACAACGAGACCCACCGGTTCCTGGACACCCACCGGGGCCCGGCCGGTCCCGGTGAACACGAAGAGCCGCCGGGCGGGCTCCTGCAGACCCGCGGGGCAGAGCCCAGGAGCACACACAGGCTCCGGCACTACGGCGCGTCCAGGGACCGACCGACTACCGCCGCCCCCAGCACAGCCCAGCCGCTCCTACCGCCCTACCGGCGGCTGCAGCGGAGCCCCACGCCTCGCCCGGCACAGTCGTACCCGGCCCGGCCGTCCAGTACCCCGGCCCGGGCCCGCTCGGCCTCCCGCCCGCCGGCAGAGCCGGCCCCCCGGCGGGCACCCCCGGGCGCGGCGGCCACCCAGGCCCCGGGGGGTCCCGGACGGCGCCCGAACAGCGGCTCCGGTGCAGCTGGGAGGCGGGAAAGCAGCGAGGAGAAGGAGGGAAGAGCGGAACGACAGGGTAGCGGCGCCGGGACCGGACCCCGCACGGCGCCCGGGCCGCCGCCCGCACCGGGCCCCGACAGGCCGCGGAGGGCGCGCCGGGCCGCGCCGCGCCGAGCAGCTGCCCGCACACCGGGAGGCCCGGGCCCGCCGCGCCTCTGCCTCAGGCCGCGCCACTGCTCCCGGCCCCGCACCCAGCCAGCCCGGTAGGCCAAGGGCAGCGCGGCCCGGCAGGTGCCGCCACCGGGCGTAGGCCAGACCCGCGCCCCGACCCCAGTTCCCGCGGACCGCTCACCGTGCGTAGCCGGGCGCGGAAGCCGCTCCCCGGAGGCCGCTCCCCGCCGCCTCCCGCCGCCAGCGGCCCCGACGCACCGAGCGGGCGGCGCGGAGCGAGCGCGACCCCGCGCGGGCACGTACCTAGGGGAGGGGCGCGCGGCGCTTAGCAACCGGCGGCACGAGCGCGCCGCGGCCAATCGGCGACCGCCGCCTGCGCACGCCCCGCCCACCTCTAGCCCCGCCCCACCTGGCCGCGCGCGATCCCGCCTTCCCGCGCGCCCTGCGGCCGTCCCTGGTGGAGCCCCGCCCACCGCAACACACGCCCCTTTTGGCGTCGCTCCAAGCCCCGCCCCAATATCGGTTCCAGTCCCTCTCCCGTGCCTTAGACCACGCCCCCACAGCAGACCGCCGCCTCCATACCGTGTGCCACGCCCCCCCGTGTCTTAGGCCCCGCCCCGCGGCCCACGTGCGTTCCCGCCGAAGGCCGACCCCGGCGCCGCCTGGCCCCGGTCCCGCGGGCAAATATTTGCTCGGGGCCGCCCCGGCGCTGCCGCAGCGCGGGGACGCCGCCATGCAGCCCGTGCTGGGGGTCCTCGCCCTGGCCGCGGCCCTGGCCTCAGGTAGGGACCCGGGCCGGGCGCTGTGGGGCTCCCGTGGTGGCCGAGGGCGTGGGGCAGTGCGGGACCTAGGTAGGACGTGGGGTCGGGATAGGAGCCTTCAGGACACTGCCCGGGCCTGCGGCACAGGGGGACAGCAGGAGCTAGAGGCCTGCAGCAGGTGCTGTGCAGGGACCCTCCTGCTCCATGGGACATGGGTCCATGGTCCTGTGCCCTGCGGGGCAGGATCCCACGCTCCACAGGACAGAGTGGGTCTGGGATCCCACACTCCACAGGACAGAGATCTCCTGCTCTGTGGGGCTGGACCCCGCGCTCAGCAGGGCCTGTATGTCCATGCTGTCTCTCCAAGTTCTTGCCACCCTCTGCAGGCCACCGTTCCCCTCTCAATGACTTCCAGCGCCTGCGAGCCACCGAGCTGCTGGCAGTGCCTGCAGACCCACCGCTGCCGCCGCCAGAGCAGGGCTCTGAGGAGCAGTGTGCCTGGCTCTGTGCCACCAGCCTGGCCTGCCGGTGAGCGGGACTGGGAGGGTCATGACACAGGGCTCACTCCGTGCTCTTTGCTGGGTGCCCACATGTGTGCCCCTTGGTCCTGCCCCTTATGGGTCCACGCCAAGCTCCCCCTGTGCCTCCCAGGGCTTTCCACCACAACCGGCAGAGCCAGCTGTGCCAGCTGCTGCCCTGGACCCAGAACTCACCCCACATCCAGCTGCAGAAAAACATCCACTATGACCTGTACCAGAAGAAAGGTGGGCTGGTGCCATGGGTGAGCATGGGGACATCACAGACCAGGCACAGGGCTCCTCACTGCTCGTATGCTCTGCTTTCCCCAGTCTTCCTGCGGGACTGCATCGTGGCCAATGGCTCCAGTTACCGTGGCACACGGGCCGTGACGGAGAAGGGTCTGCGCTGCCAGCCCTGGCAAGCCACAACACCCCATGACCACAGGTGCCTCCATGTCCCCAGCTGCTCCACAGCACCCACCAGTGGCCCCAGGCAGCTTGGGGCAAGAGGGAGTAGGCTGGGGACAGCATGGTGGCAATAGGGACCGCATGGGGGCAATGGGGACCATGTAGGTGCAGTGGCACTGCCCAGGGTAGCATAGCATTGGGCTATGCCCACCCCAGGGCAAGGGTCTCCCCACAGCCCTCCTACCTCCTCTGCTGCCTGCAGGTTCCTACCGTCACCCCACAATGGTCTAGAGGAGAATTACTGCCGCAATCCAGACCGGGACAAGCGGGGCCCGTGGTGTTACACCGTTGACCCCAACATCCGACACCAGAGTTGCGGCATCAAGAAGTGTGAGGATGGTGAGTGCTGCATCACAGGGACTCCCTGTGGCCTGTGTCCCCCTCACTGAGTGCCCCCTGGCTGTTGGCAGCCGTCTGCATGACCTGCAATGGGGAGGACTACCGCGGCACTGTGGACCACACCGAGTCAGGGACAGAGTGCCAGCGCTGGGACATGCAGCACCCACACAAGCACCCCTACCATCCCCACAAGTACCAGCTCCGGGCAGTGCGCAGTGTTGGGCAGCATGCAGCCCCAGCTGTGCCATGTGCTGGGGCGCTGGGACCACCGTCAACCACTGCTCCCTGTCTCTGCACCAGGTACCCTGACAAGGGGCTGGACGACAACTACTGCCGCAACCCTGACAGCTCAGAACGGCCCTGGTGCTACACCATCGACCCCGGGCGGGAGCGCGAGTACTGCCGCATCCGCCTGTGCAGTACGTGCCTGCTGATGTCACCGTGCGGCTGGGGCCGGGTGTCCCGGTGCACCCTAACTGTGCCACTCTGCTCCTCTCCGGCCATGCAAGCAGAGAAACGCCCACGGCCCCTCAACGTCACCACCAGCTGCTTCAGGGGCAAAGGCGAAGGCTACCGGGGACGGGTGAACATCACCGTGTCAGGGATCCCCTGTCAGCGCTGGGACACCCAGGTGCCCCACCAGCACCACTTCACACCCAAGAAGTACCCCTGCAAGTAAGGGGGTCGGGGGGATGCACCTGGGGAGGGTGGCTGTGAGCAGCACACCCGGGTGTGCGGTTGGGGGGCACCCATGCAGCCCCTCCACCAGGGACCTGCAAGAGAACTACTGCCGCAACCCTGACGGCTCAGAGGCTCCATGGTGCTTCACTGCCCGCTCCACTGTCCGCATCGCCTTCTGCTTCCACATCCGCCGCTGCCCTGATGAGCTGGGCGCCCAAGGTGAGCCAACCCCAGGCACCCATTTGTGGGGTGCTTGCTGTGGGTGCCAGCCCTCCCTGCCTGTCTCCAGAGTGCTACCATGGCCATGGCGAGCACTACCGCGGTCATGTCAGCAAGACACGAAAAGGCATCACCTGCCAGCCGTGGGCTGCCCAGACACCCCACGTGCCCCAGTGAGTATGCGAGGGAGCACACTGGGGTCAGTGTGTGGGGACAGGGATGGACACAGGGTTGGGGATGGAGATGGGTATATGGGGAACAGAATGGTGATGGTGACAGTTACTTGTTCGTGGCAGGATCTCACCTCTCACCCACCCTGAAGCACACCTGGAGGAGAACTACTGCCGCAACCCCGATAATGACAGCCATGGCCCCTGGTGCTACACCATGGACCCCCACACCCCTTTTGACTATTGTGCCATCAAGCCCTGCTGTGAGCCCCTATCCGCACCCCTGCAGCGCTAAGGGTGTCCCTGGTCACCCCCTAGGGTGATTTTGGTCCCCCCAGGATGGCTGGACCCTGCTGTAGTGCCACCCTGTGCTTTCTCTCCACAGCTGGCAGCACAGTGCCCTCTGTCCTGGAGAATGCAGGTTGGGGCCCACAGGTGCCGGGTGACTGCCATGGGGCAAGTGCTGGTGGCATGGCCCCATCTGACACCCACCGTGCCCGCAGACATAGTGGCTTTCAAGGAGTGTGGCCAGCGGGATGAGAGGTTGCAGCTGAAAGGGCGCATTGTTGGTGGCCAGCCCGGCAACTCGCCCTGGACTGTCAGCATCCGCAACCGGTGAGTGGCTCCCCAGCTCCCTGCCACGCAGCCAGTGTCCTCCTGGAGCTGACCCCCATCCCCACAGCGCCGGTGTGCACTTCTGTGGGGGAACCCTGGTGAAGGAACAGTGGGTGATCAGCACACGACAGTGCTTCTCCTCCTGGTAAGGCTGGGGCTGGGGTGTGGGGTGATGGGACCCCCCCCCATGTCCTCACATCCCCATCCTGCAGTGATGCTGACCTCACGGGCTATGAGGTGCACCTGGGGACTCTCTTCAAGGACCCCGGCCCTGGAGACCCAGACCTGCAGACAATCCCCATCACACGGATCGTCTGCGGCCCCTCTGAATCCCAGCTGGTGATGCTGAAGCTGGCGAGGTGAGCTGCCCCAGTCCCTCTGGTACCCCATGGCTGGCCAGGCTGCCACTACGTCCCACTGTTCCTCTCGCTGCAGTCCAGCAACTCTGAACAGGCGCGTGGCCCTGATCTGCCTCCCACCTGAGCGCTATATTGTGCCCGCGGGCACCATCTGCGAGATCGCCGGCTGGGGGGAGACCAGAGGTACCTGCCATGGGCAGCCCCTGAAACCCCGGCATCCCCTGCCCGGCATCCCCTGCCCGACATCCCCTGCCTATGCTATTCCCCTGCAATGGCATCCCCTGCCGACAGCATCCCAAAGTTGATGACATCCCCTTCCTTACAGCATCTCCCTTCTGTGGCATTTTCCTGCCTGTGCCAGCCCCCTGCCCACCACATCATCCCTGTCCACAGTACCCTCCAGCTCACTCCCTGCCCACAGTACTCCCTGTGAGGGCACTCCTGCAAACATTACCTTCTATGTTGTGTGCCCCCTGCCATGGTACCTGCCTGCCAGTGCCACCCCTGTGCCATGGCACCCCCCTGCCTGTGCCGTCCCCACTGCCGTGGCATCCCCCACTGGTGCCTCCCCTGCCCACAGGCACGGCGGATGGTGGTGTGCTGAACGTGGCGTGGCTGCCGGTGTTGGCCCATGGTGAGTGCAATGCAGCGCTGCGCGGACGCGTGAAGGACAGCGAGCTCTGCACAGCCCCGCTGCGCGCCGGTGTGGGGGCCTGTGAGGTGAGCTGGGCCCGGAGTGCTGCCTTGGGGGAGTCCAGGGTGCTGGCACCGGGGTGACGCTGCTGCCTGGGTGCCACAGGGGGATTACGGGGGGCCACTGGCTTGCCTCACTGCCGACTGCTGGGTGCTGGAGGGGGTGATCACCCCATCCCGTGTCTGCGCCCGCACTGACCAGCCTGCCCTCTTCATCCGTGTGTCGCTCTACGTTGACTGGATCTACAAGGTGATGAAGATGGGCTGAGCCGGCTCGGCCCAGCCTGGCACAGCCACCACCATGCAATAAAGGCACAGCCTTGGCCACGGCCATTAGCACTGCATAGGGTCTCTCATGTTTATTTAAGACCAAACCCCAGCTTGCATCCTATCCTGCCTCCAGCTACACTTGCTTCATCCTTCTTTGGTCCTGGCATGGTCCCCAGGGCCAGTGGTCATCCTTGGGGCTGGCACAGAGGCAGGGTCACCGTAGGTGCTGGGGGCTGTGCTCTCCTGTCCTGTCCCATCAGGGCATCCCCACGTGCTGAAGGAGCCACTGGGCGCAGTTCTTGAAGACATCGGCCTCCATCTCCACGCCGGCTAGTGCATGGCCACCCTGCGGGTACCACAACAGCCTGCAGGGTGGGATGGGATGGAATAGAGGGGGATGATCAGCCGGCACACCAGGGCTCCCTCCCTGCTCTACCCCCCTATTCCCCACTCACCGCACGGGCACCCCCCTGGCCCGCAGCACCCGGTAGAGCTCCAGCGCCTGCGTGGGGCTGACACGTCGGTCCCGCGCACCCACACACAGCAGCACTGGTGTCTGCACCTGCAGCACATGCAGCGGTGAGTGCCTGGCACCCTGCACCCTGCCCTCCACACCCATCCTGCCCTGCCTTACCTGTGCCGCCTGGGCAATGGGGGAACGCAGCAGCATGGTGGCCACCTCCTCGGCACGTGGTACCCGCTCGAAGGAGTAGGGCAGCCCCAGGGAGGTGTAGCGCCTGTGGCACAGTGTGCTGGTGAGGTGGGTGCTGTGGGGACCAGGGGGAGCACGGCATGGCACAGGGAGTGACACTCACCAGTCGGGGATGTCGGAGGTCCCAAGCAGTGCAGGCAGGTTGGAAACGGGGCTGCGCAGGGCGCAGGCTCGGTAGCGCTTGGGCTCACGGGTGAGGAGGTGGAGGGCGATGAAGGCTCCATGGGAACCAGCCAGCAGGGCCAGGCGGTTTGGGTCCAGGGGCTCACTGTGCAGCGCCTGCTCCACTGCCAGCTGCATCCATGGGCACCCACCATTAGCATCCTCCCAGCAGACCCCACCAGCAGCACACCTCCATCAGCACCCTCCACCCCTCCATCCCAGTGCCCCTCACCTGGGTGTCCGCCACATCCTGTTCACCCACTCGGGACAGCAGGGAGCTGATGCTGGCCTGGCCAAAGCCCAGAGAGCCACGGTAGTTCACTGGGGAGATGGGGACCATGGGTGTGGTGTCTCCAGTGAAGTGCAGTGGCCACATCCCCAGGCTCCCCAGCACTCACCCAGGAGCACGGCAAAGCCCAGCCAGCACAGCGCGGCCATGCCTGGGCGCCAGCGGGCATCGAAGACAGCATGGGGGCCACCTGGGGCCAGTGGGGATGTCACCCAGGTGCCACCAACACTGCCAGGGTGTCCCCACTGTCCCCTCACTCACCATGGGGACACACAACGAGGGGGTGCGGTGCCATGCTGTCTGGTGGGCTCAGCAGCAGGGCCTCGAAAGCCTGGGTGCCTGGGAAGGGGTGCCGCTCAGAACCCCCCACCCCAGGACCCCTACCCTGGTACCTCCCATCCCGGGTATCCCTGGCACCCAGGCAGCACCCAGGCACATCAGGGACCCCCGGGCCCTCACTGTGCACAGCTGGGGTCTGCCCACTGCAGGGGGACCGGACCGTCAGGGTCTTCCAGGTGACACCGGGCACTATTGGGGTGTCCTCCACCGGCACCCAGCGAAGGGGCAGCTCCTGGCCCGCCGGTGGCAGCGCCGTCACTACCTGGGAACCACAGTTGGTGGCATCGGCACGGGGGCAGCTGTAACAGCCCCCACTGCAGGCCCAGTGCTCTGGTGCTGCCCTGTTCCATGCACAGATGTGCTATGTCATGCCTAGTTATACAGCTCTGTGCCACGCCGTGCTGCCCTTGGCTGTGCCATGCTGTACCTGGCCCTGGCATGCAATGTCAAGCTTTGCTGTTCCTCGCCACACCATGCTCTGCAATGCCATGCTGTAGCTGGCTGTGCTTCACCACACTGTGTTTGACTATGCCATGCAAAGCTGGGCCATGTCATGCCAAGGCTTTGCATAGCTATGCTAGACTGGATCTGGCTATGCCATGCCATGCCATGCTGCATCATGCAATGCCATTCAGGATCTGCCTGTGATGTGCCATGCCATGCAATGCTGTGCTGTGTAATTCTATGCCTTGCTGTGCTATGCCTGGCCGTGCTTGGCTGTGTCATGCCATGCTATGCCACACCATACGGAGCCCCACCGCACTTTGCCATGCCACATCATGTGGTGCCAGGGCTCTGCTCACCAGGCTAGGGGGGTGGTGTGGTGCTGAGCATGTGGCTACCAGCAGGTCCCACTGGAGGGTGAGCAGCTCCCAGCACCCTTCGGGTGACCCTAGGGACAGAGATCACATTAGTGCTTGCAGACACTCACCTGGGCACTGTGGGCAACCAATGCCACGTACCTGCCGTCAGGTTGGTGACGGTGGCTGCCTCCGTGTCCACCAGGAGCAGGTCCTATGAGGGGCAGAGCACAGGCAGCTGCATCACTGCAGGGCGCAGGGACCACATCCCCATCCCTGCAGTCCCTGGGGCTCACAGTGCGGCTGCGCTGCGGGGTGCCCAGCACGGCTCGCCGGCTGTCGGCTGCCCAGCACCGCAGTGGCAGCACCTCTGTGAACAGCCCGGCGAAGGCTGCAAGCAGGGCAGAGTGTTAGTGAGCAGAGCCATGGCCACCCAGTGTGGGGGGTCCAAGCCCCCAGCAGCACTCAGCCCTGCCCACCGTGTAACACTCACCCTCTGTGGGCTCCTGCACTACATCGAGCACCATCAGTGTCTGCCTCGTCTGCCAGGTGAGCTGCAGGGAGCCAGCAGTCAGGGATAGAATCACAGAATAGTTAGGGTTGGAAAGGACCTTAAGATCATCCAATTCCACCCCCCCCCTGCCATGGGCAGGGACACCTCACACTATAAACCATGTCACCCAAGACTCCGTCCAACCTGGCCTTGAACACTGCCAGGGATGGAGCATTCACAACCTCCCTGGGCAACCTGTTCAGTGCCTCACCATCCTAACAGTAAAGAACTTCTTCCTTATATCTAACGTGGACTTCCCCTACTTAAGGTTAAACCCATCACCCCTTGTCCTGTCACTACAGTCCCTAATGAAGAGTCCCTCCCCAGCATCCCTATAGGCCCCCTTCAGATACTGGAAGGCTGCTATGAGGTCTCCACGCAGCCTTCTCTTCTCCAGGCTGAACAGCCCCAACTTTCTCAGCCTATCTTCATACGGGAGGTGCTCCAGTCCCCTGATCATCCCTCGTGGCTTCAACAGCCCCACGTCCTTCTTATGGACAGTCCCCCACCAGCGAAACCAAGGCATGGGGGCACCGTGAGGGGCTGTGATGCCCAGGCTCGGTACTGCGCCGCCATGCTCACCATGCGCAGGCACAGGCACTGCCGATGCGGTCCCCCCACACCACCCTCCAGGTAGAGCAGGCGCCGGCCGTCGGGGCTCAGCCGTGGGGAGAAGGCAGCTCTGTGCTCGGCTGACAGCAGTTCTGTGCGAGGCAGGAGGTCAGCACCTCAGGGACACAGGGACCCCCTCTGCGGCCCCGGTGCTCACCGCAGCTCCTGCTGCTCAGGTCCAAGTAGAAAATCCCTGACCTGAAGAGGAGGCGTGTGTCAGGATGGAGCCCCATGACCATGCTGAGCCCCACTGTGCCAGCACAGCGTGGGCATCCCAGCCTGGCGCTGGGAGCATGGGGGGACCCACCTCCTGTTAGAGCAGGCGTTCAGCCCCAGGCGGAAGGGCTCGTGCCACCAGCCCACGAACACCACACCACGGTCACCCGGGGACCACAGGGCCTGTGTGACAGCCAGGCTTGTCCCACAGCCCCAGGATGCTTCCCCCAGGGCTCTCCCTGCACCCTGTCCTGACCTGGCCAGGGGAGAGGTGCTCTGGGACGCCCTCCAGCACCGAGAGGCTGCTGCTCTCCAGGTCCAGGGCGCAGAGGACAGGCATGCTGCGGGTGCTCAGTGCCTCCCCCCAGTCCTCGTGGTACACAAACTGCTCCTTGTCCTGTGGCAAAGACCCCCCAGTCCCATGGTTGGCAGCCCCAGACATGGAGCTCAGCATGGCATGCTTGTGGGGTGCATAGCATGCTCATAGGGTATGTGTGATGCTGACGAGGCATGGGGATGCTCACAGCATGCATGGCACACTCACAGGGTGCATACCATGGTCATGGGGTGCACACCACTCTTATGAGGTGCATGGCACGTTCGTGGGGTTCACAGAGTGCTAGTGGGGCATGTGCCATGCTCACAGCATGCACGGCACGCTCACAAGGTGCACGGCATTCTCATCGGGTACACGGCATGCCTATGGCATACACAGTGTACTCATGGGGTACACAGCACCCACCTCCTCATCCTCGACCTCCTCCGCCGGCCTGGCTGCTCCTGGCACATCCCAGGCGCAGGGTGCCCATCGCTTGGGTCGGCTTTTCTCGGCCACATAGAGCAGCCGTGTCTCCGAGTGGGACCAGGCCAGGCAGGCAAAGGGCCCTGGCACAGTAAGAGGGTGCCAAAGACCAGCCTGGCACAGGCACAGCTGGGTACCAGGCAGGCAGAGGCCACTGGCCATGCCACCCTCGCCTGTGTTGTGGGCAGGGTTGTGGGGAAGGGGCCCTACCCTCTGTGTAGACCTCCCCATGCTTCCCCAGCGCTGTGAGGTCCACGCTATGGCTGCGCCCACTGCTGCCCCACACCTGAGGGGATGGGGGTCAGCACCAGCACACCAGAACCGTAGCACCCACTGCCCCCCGCTGACACTGTAGCCACCCCGTTGAGCCTGAAGCTGCTGTGACTGGGGCAACCCTGTTACCTCTAGCAGCTCATGGCCCTGCCGTGGGCAGCGGCTGAGCACGGCGCGGTGCTGCCCGGTGGGTGAGTCCCGGCTCAGGAGCCTGAGGGTGGGAGGGAAGGAGGCTGCAGTGGGCACAGGCCATGCCACAGCACCAGCCTCACTGCCCCATCCAGCAGCCTGCGTGTGCCGTACTGGTTGTTGATCTCGGCGCTGAGCGCTGCCCGGCTGACAGTGAGGCCACCATTGCCGGTGCGGTGCAGGCTGTAATGGCGGCTGAACCGCAGAAGCCGTCGGCGGGGCAGGTCGGGGCGACTGCACTCTGCGGGGCGGTACCGTCAGCACCCACCGCACCGCACCGTGCCAGGCCCACCTGCCCACAGCACCAGGGCACCGAGCCCATGACTCACCGGTGTAGAGCTGGAAGCTCTGTGCCCCTGTGGCGGCCCCGAGCGCGGCGCCCGTGACAGCTGGGAACTGGCTCAGCTCCCGGTAGCAGGCGGTGGGGCTGCGGGCAGCCTGGCCGGGGAAGGGGCAGAGCTCACCCCTCTGCCCATGACCACCCTCCCGAATCAGGGCTGTGCCCTCTCGTGCAGCCCCTCCTGAGCTCCCTTTGCCCACCTCTGTGCCCTGCTGGGTCCTGGAGGCCATGGGACTGTGCTGTGCCGTGCCGTGCTGCTGGTGCCGGCCGCTCGGCCGGGGCAGGCTGCCAGGGTGTGTGCAACAGCCTGGAGCGAGGGGCACGGCAGGTGGCAGCCGTGCCCAGGCAGGGTTCACCCTGTGTTGTGTCACACCACTGACCTGCCCTGGACAAAGGCCCAGTGGCTCTGAGCTCCCAGGGCACTGGAAGCAGAGGTAACACCAACACCACCACCATCACAGACACCGGGCTGCTGAGCTACACCGTTTATTGGGGTGAGGGGGGCAACGTGGTGGTGGCTGTTAGCACCGAAGGTGCTTGGACAGCCACAGCGCTATGTTCATGAAGCCGTCAGCTTCGGCCTCAACGCCCGCCAATGCGTGGCTGTTCCCTGGGTACCAGAGCAGCCTGCAGGGGAGAGGGGGGTTAGTGCTGCGCCTACACCCCACTGCAGGCACCCTGCACCCCACTCACCGTGTGGGGACACCCCGGGCCTTGAGGGCACGGTAATACTCCAGCCCCTGCCTGGGGGGCACACGCCGGTCGTCCTCTCCAAGCAGCAGCAGCACGGGGGCACGGACCTGTGGGATCGGCACAGCCTCAGCACCGGCTCTGCTGCCGGGGATGGGGACAGGGATGGTGATGTACCTGGTTCACGTAGCGCACGGGGGACTTGTGCAGCATCTCCGTCCACTGGGCTGGGTCTGGGAGTGCATCGGGTGCATAGGGCAGCCCCGTCTCCGTCAGGCACCTGTGGGTGAGAGGGACGGGGATGCACGCAGGGCTGGGGTGCAGGCAGGTGAGGGCGTTGGTACTCACCAGTCAGGGATGTCGGTGGTGCCCACCATGGAGGCAATGTTCACCACGGGGTTGCGGACCACGCAGGCGTGGTACGTGTCGGGGAACTGGCCCAGGAGGTGGCACGCCAGGAAGCCTCCATGTGAGCCACCCACTAGTGCCACCCGGCTGGCATTCAGCGCCTCCTCCTGCAGCACCCGCTCCACACAGAGCTGCCATCGCGGGGGATACCCGTGAGGCAGGAAGATCTGCTTCCCCTCCTCGGGGCACCCTGGGAGCTCAGGGGGCTGCAGGACTCTATTGTCAGGGCCATACCTGCACATCACGTACATCCTGCGTGCCCACGTTGCCTGGCAGCGAGGCCACACTGTCCTGGCCAAAGCCCAGTGAGCCACGGTAATTCACTGGGGTGGGAACGGGGCAGCATCAGAGCCTTTCCTCCCCCTGTCCTGGGCACACCGTGGGCGCTGTGACACCCAGCAGTGCCCCAGAGCCCTTGTGTCACTCACCCAGTAGCACAGCAAAGCCCATGCGGCACAGTGCCGCCGGGTACAGCATCCACCCAGCTGTGAAGACAGAGTGGGGACCCCCTGCAAAAGGCAAAGGTAAAGGTGGGGGTGACACTGTGTGGCCAGGGCAGGGGCCAGAGCCGGGCAGGGGCAAGCTCTTACCATGGGGCATCACAACCAGGGGCGGTTTCTGAGCAGCAGGGCCCTCGCTTGGGCGCAGGAAGATGGCATCGAAGTCCAGGCCCGCTGTGGAGGCAGGGTGAGGGGTGGCAGGGTTCGGGGTGGGTGGTGAAGCCCAGCCTGGCCCCACAGCACTCACCATACTGGGGGTTCTCCTGCTCTGGCGGGGGCTGCAAGGTGCGGATGCCCCAGCTGATACTGGGCACAGGGGGTGCGTCCTGCAGGCAGACCCACCGTACCTGCGCCTCCTGGCCAGCCTCGGGCAGCATGGCCACTTTCTGCATGGGAGAAGGTGAGCGTCAGCACTGAGGGGCTGGTGGGCACTGAGGAGGGAGGGGGACATCACCTTACCAGTGCTGGGGGGCAGCTAGGGGTGGAGAAGCTGGCCACCAAGATGTTCCGGTCAATGGTGAGGACAGACCAGCATCCCTGGGGGGCATCTGGGGAGGAGAGGGGATCGGACCTGCAGACGTGACCACCTACCCTGCCCCAGCACTGGGATGGTGCTGCTGGCCCCCCACTCACCAGCAGTCAGTGAGGTTGTGGCACCCGTCACCGTGTCCACCACAAACACGTCCTAGGGGCACGAGGGCAGAGTCCAACAGAGCCCTGACGTGTCTCAGCTGCCCTGTGCCCCGCAGTGCCGTCCCAGCATGGCAGCCCTCACCTGCTGACTGCGCTGGACCGTATCCAGCACGATCCTGCGGCTGTCGGCTGCCCAGCACAGCCCTGGCAGCACATTGTAGATACCCGGGAAAGCACCTGCAATGAGAGCGGTGGTGCTCAGCACCGTTCTGTGACCCCCCTAAACACCCTCAGGGCTGCACTCACCCCACACTTGCCGCGGCACCACCTCCAGCACTGTGCTGGTCTCTTCGGTGTACCAGTCGTACTGCAGGAGGCACAGCACAGGGCGGGTGTTGTCCCCACTAGAGCTTTAGGAGGGGGTCACACTGCCCTGCTGCCAGCCCCCCCTGCAGCACGGGCACCATACCAGTGTCCCACTGGTGCTGCTCACCATGCGGAGCCGGCTGCACTGCTGGTGGGGGCCCATGGCATCGTTTTCCAGGTAGACGATGCGGCAGTGATCCGGGCTGAGCCGCGGGGACCACACAGCCTTGGTGTCCTCGGAGAGCAGCTCTGCATGGGCATGAAGACACGGTGAGGCACTGCTCGGAGCCGGGGCACCTGCGGAACTGGGGTACGCGCTGCTCACCGCAACTCCCGCCCGTCAGGTCCACGTAGAATAGCGCTGACCTGCCGGCAGAGATGGGTGTCACCATGGGGCTGGGGGGCCTGGCTGTGGGGCAGGGTGCCCTGTAGGGACTCACCGGCGGTTGGTGCAGTGTCGCAGCCCCAGGCGGAAGGGCTCGTGCCACCAGCCCACGAACACCACACCGGTATCACCTGGACACCAGAAAGCCTGTGGGGAGAGGAGAATAAGCAGCTTGCACTGCCAATGGCCCCCAAAACCTCCCTTTCTGTGCGTTCCCCATCCTGACCTGGCCAGGGGAGAGGTGATCCGGGATGCCCTCCAGCACTGAGATGCTGCTGCCCTCAATGTCCAGGACGCAGAGGACGGGCACGCTGCGGGTGCTCAGTGTTTCCCCCCAGTCCTCGTGGTACACGAACTGCTCACCCTGCGCACAGCCCCGTCAGCCCCATCGTCATCCCACTCGTCAAAGTCTGCATCAGAGTGGGGGGACCCCACCTTGAGAGGTTCATCCTCCTTCTTTGGCTGCTCCATGTCCTCATCTGAGACATGCAGCTCTTTTCTCTGGAAGAAGGACTCAGCCTTGGGACGCTTCTTCTCCGCCACGTAGAGCAGGTGGGTCTCCGAGTGTGACCAGGCCAGGCAGCCAAACTCATCTGCAGAGGTGGGTCAGGCACCAGTCACCCCGTCCCCCCATACTCCACATCCCCCAGACCCTCACCATCATCATAGACGCTGCCGTGCTTGTCCAGCGTCGTCAGGTCGATGCTCTTCACCTTGCGGTTCTGATCCCAGACCTGGGGGCAGAGATACGCAACAGCCCCAGGCTTCAGTGTGGATCCATCCCCAAGCCCACGGAGTACCCAGGCCGGCCCCGATCCCCCTCTCACCTCCAGGAACTGCTTCTCCTTCTTCTCCTTGTTGGAGACCTTGCGCAGAACAGCCTTCAGGGCCCCGCTGGGGGACACCTGGCTCAGCAGCCTGTGGGTGTATGGGTGCCCATCAGCCCCCTGCCATCAGCACCCCGAGGGGATGCCAGCAAAGGGGGGGATAGGACGAGACTCACTCGCCCTTGATCTCAGAGCAGGTGCTGGTGGGTCCCGAGTAGACGATGGAGGCCCCGTCGTGGAAGATGAGGTACTGGCGGCAGAACCTGATGTTCTCAGCCCGCTCCAGGTCCCGCTGCAACCACTCTACGAGAAGTGGGGTGAGCTCACCGGCCGCAGCCCCGCCAGGCAGGCAGGGACCCCCCGGACCCCCACCTCACCCCCGTACCGGTGCTGAGGCTGCAGTGCTTGCCCCCGTACTGGGTGGTGACATCAGGGCCGAGGCTGGCGGTGCTGAGCCCCGGGTGCCCGCTCAGCTCCCGGTACAGCTCCACCATCTCCTCCGGGATCAGGGGCATCTGTGGGACAGCCACAGGGTGGCTGGGGGACACGGTGCAGGGCGGCGAGGACCAGGGCATGGTGGGGTGCAGGAGGGTGCACGGGGGATTAGGAAGGTCCTGGGGTACACGGGGGGATGAGGACGGCACTGGGGGCACTCACTAGGGCACGGAGGGTGTACGAGGGTGGAGGGGCGGTGACTGCGGTGCTGGGCAGCCCCGGCGAGCAGAGCCAGGCTGGACCCGGGGCACCGCGGGCAGGTACCGGGGTGCAGCCCTGGCGGGAGCTGGGCCGCCGAGGTCCCGCGCAGTGACGTCACGCGCCCCCCGTCCCGTCCCCCCCCCCCCGCAGCCCCTCACCGGTGACTCCATGTCGCGGCGGTAGAGCGGGGGCGTGGCCAGGGCCAGCACTTCCGGGATAGAGAGGAGGGGCCTGCGGACTGCGGCGCCTCCTATTGGCTGCGGCGCTGGCCCAACGTCCCGCGTTGAGGCGACCCCTGGTGGGCACGCGCGGCGCCGCCACCGCTGCCGCAGGAGGTGCGGGGTTCGGGGCCGCTGCCGGCCGGGGGCACTCGTTCACCGCGGGCCTCTGGGCCGCCCCGGAGCGGTACCCCCGGCAGGCGGCTGCAGCGCTGAGTGTCGCTCTGGATGCAGGCTGAGGAGATCGGGCCCCACCGGGACCCCCATCCCGCCGGTGCTGGGCACCGGCCAGACCCGCACTCCCAGCCCTGCCGATGTCCCGGCCCCCCCCCCCCCCCTCCGCAGGCAGGAATCGGGGCCAGTCGGTGGTTTGTGTCAAGTCCTTTTTATTCTGTTCCCACAGAAACACCTGGTGAGGGGGCAGCTTCTGGGAGGGAGTCACGACACAGCGGCGGGGCGGCACGGCACGGTACAGCACGGTACGGCACGGAACGGGGTCACTACGGGTGGCACAGAGCACAGCAGACACGCACACCGTCACAATGTTCAGAGGGAGCGCACCCGGCATCGCGCCTACTGCTGCCAACGGCGCCCGGCCCTTCGCACCCTCCGTCCCCCCGCGCCGGCCAGCAGACTGCAGCCTGGCGGCCCGGCGGGGTGGGACACGTGCCCCCAGTCCCGGCGGACACCAAGGCGAGGTGGCGGGTGTGCTCGGGCGGCAGAACGGGCCTCG